ACAACGAAAGCGTGTTGTTCCACCAAGGAAGCCCATCCCGTTTAAGGAAGCTGTTGGATTGAGGAATAGAGAGATGAGCAACCGTGCAAATCGCTTTAGACATAATAGCAGCGTCATGGTTGCAGTTCCCATTAAATGGCTTTGAATTCAGAAATAACTCAACCTGTTTGGAGTAATTGATCCAATCCGCTTTAGCCAGGAGGAATTTCGAATAACAGAGGACTTTGAAAGGTTAAGATCCATTGTGATTCGATAGTGATCACTGTTATGTAGATCATCAAGGATAGACCAGGAAACTAAAGAAAGAAGTGACGGAGAGCAACATGTTAAATCAATATGTGAAAAGGTATGCTGAGTTGAAAAGTGCGTTGGTTTTCCATCATTTAAAATGTACAGATTGCTTTGAATGAAGGCCTTTTTTAAAACAGTACCACGTCTGTTGTTCACTTCTGAGTTCTAGATGGCATTCCAGCTGATAAAGTCGCCGCATATAATTAAGGGGGGGATAGAACGGAGAGTAAGTTATAGAGTTCTTGCTGAGAAAACGATATCGAAGGTGGGATATAAAGTCGAAAACACTGTAAATTTTATGTTTAAGATATTTGTATCGCTACGGTTTGTATGTATGAGTTTAAATTTATGCGTTTGTGAGATAGATTTGATTTTATGAAAACACCAACTGTTTGTTTGGAATGTGAATTTTGATCAGCAGTATATGATTTGGGTGGAAAAGAATTAAAAGAACTTCTACAATGGGTCTCTTGAGAGGACATAAATGTTGGATTAAAATCACTCTTGAGTTTACGGGGTTTATCGAAATTATTAACAAATCGCTTAATGTTCCATTGTAGAATTTTAAATACTTTATTTAATTGTAGGGACATGGAAACAGATAAGTAGGTGGGCTAAGTTGACATGTCAGCGTCTCTGTTGAAAATTTCGCTATAGGAATTTTGCGTGAATAATTTGTTCTTACCAACAAAATAATCTGCACTGAGGTGGTTTCGTACATATGAAGTGACACGAGTAGAAGCACGTGCATACTTTGATATTGAATTACAGCTTTCAGTATGTGGGGGAAGACCACAGTTAGCACAAGATGGAGCACTGTTGCACCTTTTTGCCATATGGGCAAGGCGTTGGCAGGTTTTGCATTTCATGGGATGTAGAATGTAGACTTCCACATTATATTTATACCAAGCCATAACAAATGTTTGCGGTAACCGATAGCGATCAAAGATCATAATTACCCTTTGTGCAGGAGAGTGAGTTTTTCCGTCGTCATTAATTTAGTAAATTTATAAACTTCAGTCACTCGTTGATTGCCCATTTCGCGCACTATTTCGTTTTCGAGTACATATTTTAAGCACGGGGCATAAATTACGCCTCTAACTGGGTTCAGTTTATCATGTAGTTTTGTAGACATTGGACATAAATATGCTAGTGATTTCGACTTTATGAGCTTTTCCGTTGCTCGCGAGTTTCTGTATACATTGTAATGCCATCTAGGGCTTTTTTGATAGCGATTTGTGAAATTGTTATGCTAGCACCAGTTGAAGAAATAGCATATTTTTTGTCAGTAGAAGTGATCTTACTGATTGGCAACAACGGAAAGTCTGAATTTTTAATTTTTTTTCTCTGCGGGAATTTGTCCGCTAATATATGGAATCTATTTGAGTTTTTATCTGGCGGCTCCGCGGCTATTATACTTTATTGTTGTCTATTATTGAGTTTGTTGGGAAAAAAAACCACTCACTAGAATCATTTCAATTTCATTAAGTATATGTAAAAAAAACAAAAAAAATATATAATAAGATTAATCCAAAAACAATATGCAATATAAAGGCTTATGGTATGTAAATTTGTAAATTTGCTGAGACTTATGGCTATGTACTTCGGAGGAAACGGTTGTTATTAATGTTGAAGTTGATAGTGATAACGATGTTGATTTTGCGGCAATTGGAATTAAACGACGCTGTAATATGTAACGAATGTGATCTATATATGTTAACGAATTCATTATAGTTTTGATAGAAGTTTAGTGTATATTCACTTGCGTACATACGTGAACAGACATATCTTTGCATCGTAGCAGGTTTCACGCGTTTTTTCGCAAATTTTTTTTTGTGTTCTTACCAGTTTCTTCTTAAGTATGCTTTTTATATTTATTTTCTCATTTATATTACGTTCTTTTCCATATACTCTGGATTATTAACTTTTGTATGTATTCTTACAATGTTAGTTTTCCATACATAGATTTATCGAATAAATATTTAAGCACTTCCACTAGTTTTTATTCTAATTTAACAATTTCGATAATTATAATTATTAACGCTCATTAGAAGTATCCACAACTTTCATACATAAGAATGTTTGCTCGCTTTGCAATATTGCAAACACAATCATGTTTGTTTTAATGTGGACTTCCTTATAAATTTCTATTATAGATGTATGTAATGGCTTTTAGCTTTGTGATGAACTAACAATTTTTTGTTGGTTTTATGGCGTAAGAAATTTTAAGCTCCAAATATGGCGTACATTATTTTTGTGCAGCGTGCAATTGACAATTAGAACAACGGAAATTAATTTCCAAATTTTACACAGCTTTTGAATAGTCTGCTTTAATTGCTTTCTGTACAAAAACAAAAAACTTTAAAAATGTCGAAATTGTTGTACATTTTCCTTGTGATCGCAAACCTTCAAAATGGTTTTTGGCTCCAGCAGCAATCTTAGTAAAAAATCGTTATGGTTCATTTGTACCTTTTCGGCATCTCAATTAAATTTCATCGCAGCAAAAAAAAGAAATCATCCGTTAGCATTTCTGGCATAGGAGATGGTACTTGCGTTGCAGATACATTCAACGATGTCATGTTGTAATCGACACATGAAGAATATTCAAGTCCAATACTGGCTGTCGCCGTGCCAGATATAGAAGGTTATCAGTAGTATCAACTCTAAAGAATATACCGAATAATTTGCGGTTAGCAGACGTCTATATGTTAACCGATTCTTCGGTTTGATGTGTGCTGTCCAAAAAAGTATTTTGCGAAAAGATCGACTTGGATGGGTGGCCCTTGGTGGGGAATTTCTCACTTCAATTTCTTGGTTATACAAAAACTCTTTAATACGCTTCCACAAGATGTATCTGTGTAAAGGTCCACGCAATTATGCACAGTGGAACTGAACTAAGAGCCTATTTAGCAATTCGTGTTACGCAACAATTTTCAATTGATGAAGCAAACGTCTTTCCTTTGGTTTTTAACATTGCAAGTCGATGCACATGACAAATGTATGTACGCACGATCTGAGCCATCAACACCAATTATGTTTGAAATCAAGGGTAGCGGCTTTGAACACTCTCACCGTCCCTAAGTGCAAATTGTCAACAGCTTTACTGCTATCGGAACTTCTAAATAGCGCTCATTAACCAATGAAAATAAAATTCATTGGTAGTCAGATCCATCGGCCGTGTGTTTAGGGTTGCGTGAGCAATCCGCTAACTTCAACATTTTCGTGTTTAACGGACTAACTCAAGTCCAATCACTTACCAACAAAATTACATGGCGTTACCTGTCAAACAATTTGAATCTTACGGATGTATTATCGGGAGTGGCGTTTCTTTCGGCAAAATGTGTTCATTTGAATATGTAAAAAACTGTCAAAGTTTTCTAAGAGACGATTCGTCTGAATGGCCAAAGAATTCAACCTTTTTAACTGGCCTTGCGGAAATAAGCGTGCTGTGTTCTTAGTCACTCCATTATACAACTGATCGGAGAATTGGAATACCATGTTCTGCTTGGAAAAATGCGGGGTATTCTTGAAGTATGTTTATAAATTCGTAAATATGAAATTTGTATTAAATCAGGACATTAAAGCCGCTCCTTTAACGCCATTCGATTTAAAAATAGATACCTATATATTAATTCTCAGCATACAGCAGATAATTTTTCCAGCAAAATATGAAGGCTTAGTAGCGAAGGTGTAGTAGAGAAACTAATGGTCCATTAATTATGAGCCTGATTGAAAAAGGCTGTTGGTAACTCATTTGTTTATGCAAACTATCAGTTGCCTTATCCAGACGCATCGTAATACATAAAAAATTTATAGTTAGTTTTAAATTAGTTTAGCTAAGTTATAAGTTGTCTCTTTCTCGCTTATATACGCACATAAACATACATATATATATGTATTTATATATCATTATTCATTTATTTTTTCACACGCCGTGAAGTTAGATCATTTTAACAAACAATATATTATATTAATAATGTTGTGAGGCATAGAAGGGCTCTGCGGGCCGTTTCAAATTCTCTTACCTTGCCGGAAAATGTAATATTGTTCTCCTCAAAAAAACTATTTTCGAACTTAAATTGTGAAAGCCAACTCGAAAAAAAGAGTGCATTTCCAAAGATTCACATGTCAGAATAATAAATGAGATATGAACGCTTTTATTCTAGATTCACTTTTGGTCGCTTAAATATTTGTTTCTGAGTGAGTGAGTGGGCGTTTGCATCAGTTTTTGCTTTCTTGGAAATGTTTTTATTGTTGTTTTTGCTTTATTCCTTATTTTTTCACTACTATTTCGTATTTTTTTTTTTTGCCACTTATGCTGTTTTTCAAACAGAGCGCTATTTAGCTATTTTTATATAGAAAAAGAAACCAATGAAAGGTATTAGATGAAACTATTGTAAAAATCGTCGTTGAAATTTATAATTATTCCTTTTTTCTATCCACTTTTGTGATAACATGAGGTTTTTTAATTATCCTAAACCTCAACTGATTCTTCCTCTATTTTTCTTTTTTTACTAACTGAACTTTTATTTATAATTTAATAGATTACATTTTAGATAGCTTTTTATTTTCAGAGAAAAGAAAACCCACGATTTTATTGAAGTGCAAAACATTACTCAATAAGGCTTCGATATGACATATGTGTGGTAACACTGTTGACCGACGCATATGATTTCTGGATAATACCAAACTTCAAATGATACGTGTCAAAATTTCATTTCGTTCTTACAATTAGACTTCAGTTAAACAATGGTTTTAGGGAAGCTACTTTTCTTGCTTTCAAAAGAGTGCAAAATTCTAATTTTATATGTTGATTAAACGTTGCTTTTTGATTGGGAAGATTATGGCGTTCGTGTTTTGGGATGTGTAAGGTGCAATATTCACTGACTATTTTGAAAAGAAGAAAAGGACTAGTAGTGAATATTATGCAGCATCGTAGGTGTGTTTGAATGTCGAACTTGATAAAAACTGAAAGTTAAACCACAGATTTTTCGAGTAATGTTCTATATTAACATTAACATTATTAGAGATTAAAAAATAAATGAAAAGTGCTTGAAAGTAAGTAACAAAAACGAACTACTTTGACATATAAAAAGTTTTCTTGGTTTACAAATCAACGCTCAGCTTCAAAAAGCATATAGATGTAATTAATGAATCTGAGGAAAATGGATAAACTAACAAATTTATAAATTTTTCATGAAGTACTCTTAGTAGGTCTTTTACAAAGGTAGTAGCAAAGTATATCAATATGCTTCCTCCATCCCAAGTGCATCTCATTTGGTGAATTTTTGGGGCGTACAGATTTCTTTACCGCGAATATAAGTACTATGTATTCGGCCTTTCTGTTGTTTAGACCTACAGGACTTTGATTTTGCGATTCTGAGCACACTACTCCGTTTGCTAAGAAAAATGCAAAACTTATGGAATTTTCCCTCCTTGGCATTATCGCTTCAGTCAGCGTAAGTATCATACGTGGCTTGCAAAGCGTCGACCTTACTTCAGGGTTCTATTTTTTCGCACGCAGTTGCTTTTCGTTGCTGATGTGTTGTATTTGTTCGGTATGCGAGTTTGCATATGGAGTACAAGATTTCTGCGCGAGAGGTAACTAGAACGTGCATAAGCACTCCTATTAAACTCTGGTACTCCGTTTCATCGATGTTCTCACATCAATCGGCGTTACATACTACGCAGTGTCCTGTTTTATGTGGTGCGGCTATTGAACGGCAATCTCCCATTTTTTAAAACGGTTATATTTTCTTTATGTATTGTTTCCTGCAATTTTGTATGAACTAGTTCGTAACTGGTGTTCTTCGATTCGGTTCATCGTCTCTTTATTGGATAGCCTATAAGTACGATATCAACATATATCGGAAGTATGCTTATCTTCTTGTAACTCTACTTTGGGTTTCCCTTCCTGTAGCCCCGGCTATGCTCAGGGCTAATCCCAGGCGTTGGCTCCAAGAACATTTATTGTTTATTAAGGAGACCTTCCATTTGCTGTTTGATTCGTCTGGTTTATTTTTTTTTTCTTGCTCTCAGGAATATGCTAGATTGTTATATTACAACCGCTCAGGACAAGAATAAATTAATACAGAAGAAAATACGTGCGTGAACGTACGTGCGAAGGAAAGGGAACCAGCAGAGTAAGTGTGTGATGTGTAACGCTTTAATATTTATCGTAAATCACTGTTATCTGTATCTGTCATATCGCTAGAGACGGCAGTGAGGATATTTCATGGATAGTTTTGAACCCTCGTAATGCCAGCAGAACTTAATTTTATTTTACGCCGGCTTAGATCGGTTTCATCAAAAAAATCTAAGAAGGTTAAATAAAAAAAACTTTAAAGAAACGCTAGCCCGTTGTATACCAGATCTTCGTCTGTTATATTCAATGTCGTTTTATTGTCAATTCGCCTTAATATGTTCGTCCAACATTACGTACGTGTGTTCAGGTGTTTAGGTTATCATTTGTCTCCCTTTCGTGTAGACACTTATAACCATCCTACACTAACCACCCATCTTAGCAAATTTGGAAATTGGAAACTTTACTCTTTATTCCGTTTTTCTATTTGTTTTATTCAACGAAAGAAAATAATAATAACAATAACAAAAAACCAACATAATATTACTATGGGTATGATTCGTTGTTGTTGACTTGCTACACTTGCGGTGCACAATCAACCTTGATTAACTTCATCTTACATCACTTGTCCCCTTCTTATACTTGTGCACCCCAAATCGGCTTGCTCTTCCTTTTCAGAAATAAGTTCATTGTTGAATCCCGCGGAATAAATTAATATCACATTTCTTTTTTTTTACTTTATGTAAAAAAAAAATGTAATGTTTTCTTTATAAGTTTATTCATAAATGTCATAAATTAATTGATAAAAAGCATTATTATAAATACTACTTTAAAAATTTCACTGTGTTAATAAATACAATACAATTTGCAACAACCGTATGTGTTGTTCAGCGTACGCATTTATTTTTCAGACAGCAGTATGATTGACAGTTCTATTCCAGGAAACAACTAATCACCGACGTTCTGAAATTATAACACTTTCTATTTGATCGTCGCTGTACAAAAGAATGACCTGTGGTCCCGCGCGTTATTTTTGTAGTTGCCGATTCACTACACATGATGTGCTGCTATGAAACTACTAATACATGTCTGAGAGATATGAGCGAAATATATCTTTTGGTGAATATCTAATTTATTATGTTGTATTATAATGAACACAGAGCTTAATGTAATATATCTCTTCTCAATGTATTTTGCTGTTGTCAAGGGGATTTATGAAAATTTCCTCGACGTCAACGGCAGACAAATCGGTTGTTAATACTTAAGCCATTCTGTGTATGTGTGTATGCATATAAAACGGGTCTTACTGTGCAATGAGCAAATATGGAGAAACACATCTTCAATTAATAATCCTAGCATGTATATTAAATAATTAGATATATTAGTATATTAGATAGTTAGATAATGTGAATATATGAATATTAGATAATATGTAACATTTATATATGGGTACTTACGTATTAACGCCATCGCGGCAAAAATTCCGTTAAAAAACCAATAAAAAGCAACCTTTTAAACTTTAAAAAAAACTTTTCTTGGCTTCTAAATATAATTATAATAATAATAATATTTTAATAATAATATTTTTGCCGCGGTGGCGCTAATACGTAAATACTCCAAGATGTATATAGAAAGCTACAAATGCCATTGTATGGAGAAAAATATATAAATATATATAATATACATATACGTGGATATATATTTATGAGATTACTTGTATATATAAGATATATAAGTAAGTACTATCAGATGGGTATGTTTATGTGAAAGAGTATAGTGACTAAAAACCACTTATATGATGTATATATATATAATAAGTAGGGTGTATATGAGAATCTAACAGATATTATACAGAGATATAATATAATATCTATGCCAATATTATATATAGAAATGCAATAACGAGACCTTCATATACCTTCTAGAGCGTCGTAAAAAGAACGGAGGATATTGTAAGCAAGCAGCCACTCCTTACATCTTTATTAATGCTTTTGGTATTAGCGCAAGGTTCAATTTCACATTGAAGAAAGCCACTTGCTTCAAGTTACTGTCCAATTGGGGGTTCTGTCTTGAATCAATGGAACGACTTCATCAATCTTGACTTAACTTACACCCTAAATTTGAGAACATTCCTTAGTCTCGGTCTGACGCCTTCTACATTTCGATTTTTCTCTTCCTTCAAGACAAAAACCCTGTTATTACGAAAAACTTTTCCCTATGAGAAAGTTTCAGTGACTTCCATGTAATAAGTTTTCAGTAATCCCTGCTATTTTGATTTAATGGCTTCCCGCCAGTGGTCTGGATTTTCGTAGACGAAACTATTGCGTGTATTGGCATATCGCTTAAATACATCGAACTTACAACGTTGTATCACTTTCTAGAACTTCCAAAATCGCCTTTTCGAAGTATCTTCGTTTCCGGATTTATCATCAGAATTAATGCTTTCACGGTGTTGGGCATTTTTTTCCGCAGGTGGAGGTAAACTTGTTGAATAAGCGGTATGCCTTTGATGTGTTAAAGTAGAGTAATCGACCGTAATGTATTCTTTGCATCGTTGTTTAAATTTTTTTCGCCGACATTTTTCTAAAGTCATCGCCATTAAACTAAATGCTTGTAAATGTGCTGCCGCAAATATTCTTCCATACCGGCGTTTACTCGAACGGTCTCAGCCCATAATGACCCATCTACGTCTGCACAAATCAGCGTACACATTGCCGTCTTAATTATTGCATGATTGAAACGTTCTGAGATACCTGGAGATTCTATAAACCTACAACGTTAGTTACCATGAAAAAATATTTTGCTTTGACTAACAATCAAATACAAGCTCCATATTGTTGTCACTTTTAAGAATTCTCAATTTACTTCCTGTTTGTTGTTCAGCCATCATTTTAATTGTTTTGAATCTACGCAACTTTACTTCACCGAAAGTAAACGCACACAAAAATAGATTTGTCATCAATTAAAGAATGCCTATATTTTCCACCTCCTATTGATGGTTTAGGCATGGGCCTCTATACGTCCGTATAGATTATTTCGCATATTTCTTTTGCTCAGCTTGCCGAATTGGTAATGGTTGCTTTGGTACTAAACAAAAACAAATCTATGACCTTCTTTACGTGTAAAATTATTCTTCCGTGTTTGTGCCTGATTATTCCCTTTACGTTTTAATTACCAAATAATATACCCATGATCCACTCCTCTGGCTACTGAAAAAAAACTACGCTGCGGACCAGGGATAAATACGACATCGATAAGTGACACGTTGAAATCCTTCGTAATGGATGGTACAGTGTATTTGTTTATACCATTTGGTAATCTTCTGCAAAGACAATTGCTTTGTCACGTTCTTTGAACTCTTTAAACTCATCCAGATTACAACATATATGATATGATACAACGTTATCGACGCGCCAATTATCGGGCGATAACGGCTTCTCAATTGTTGCTGCCAACAATGCAATTTCAGAGCTGTTGCTATTCCGGGGACCTTTCTCGTTCTGTATTTTCCCCTACATTAGGCTACTTAGTGCCCTTTCCGACTACAGTTGTATGGCTTTTGACATTCGAGCGCTGATCACCACTTGTCGTTAATACGCGTGCTGTATAGATAATCGTTGCCTTTGTTTCTTGCATAAAATTAGTGTTTGCAACTTTTTTTCTTAAATCATGCATACTAGTTCACTGGTGCTTGACTCGTTTGGTCAGGGTGTGCATGTGCTGTGACGACGTCCTTCTTCGATTAAATTAATTTTTACGGTTTTCAAAACCGGCAAATTTTATGCGTGGGTCCAATGCAATTATTAACCGTTAAACTTTGGAAGGCTGACTAAAAGCAAAATTACCACCAACCCTTTTTTGAACACTTACTATAAGTTCAGCTAATTTCTCTGCGATGGCGTTATTTGAAAACGTATTCTAGGATAAATCCATCCTCGGTGATTCTCAAACCTAGTAGCTGTAAGTAGATGAGTAAATAATGTATCTTTCCTTACTAGTCTTTTTGGTCTGTGAATCTCTCCATTCAGATGATCGATACCTCCTTCACCGATCGATAATTTTTTGTATAAGCTAGTTGTATTGGAATAACAATCAGTTCAACAGCCATCATACCTTTATTGTCTTTCGTTCTGGAAGTTTTAATTCCATCAGGTTTACTACCAATGGCTTGATTCACCTGAACCAATTTCCCATTAATCTTGGTAGACCAACAGACTTTTATTTGAAGTCCTCCTGAAATGTAACTGTTCCAGCCGATACCTCAATGATAAATATTTGCAAATTCATATTTTCTTTACTTTTGCTCTTTTATCTCGCAAGGCTGTACTTCACTCATAATTTGGAGTACATTTTATTCTTCTTTTACACTGCACTATTCTTCAACTGGAACCTCTGCGCCACTCCTACTATATACCAACTTTTCTTTATAATGCATTCACATTAATTTATAATTAACTGTTAACGCTATCAACAATTGGGACACCTTTCTCTCGATCAATCTACTGCTAGCACTATTTGCTTAAATTGAAAGTTAAAGGGAACTAAAAAAAAGAAACAATTATATGTTGATGGTATTTTTGTTTCTCTTTGTTCATTCAAAAAGGCGAAATTTAATGCGTAATTATGTCTATGTGCTGAGTTATGGAGCTGCGTGCAGGTTGACTGAAAGTGAAAGGAATGTAAAAAGGAAATTTGATTATCGGTGATCCGCTATCATGATTGCATAGGCCATTGCTTTTTTTGTATGGACGATGGCAGAAGCAGCCCAAGAGAGCCCTCATTCTAATACGCGGAAGTTACTTTTTTCAGGTAGCATATCGTATGAAAATTAAATTGAATTTACGGTTACGTGATTTGATCTCAGTCCATGAAGGTCACTGTAGAGTTTCTTCTTTTTCCATTATTCTCGGGTGCGACGAATTGCCGCACATTATATTGTTTAATAGAGCTGAACACAAAGTATTAGATTAAGATCTGAAATAATCTAAATGGTTTGGACCTAAAGGATCTTTCGTTACCAGTTTGTGGGATAGCTTCAATATTTTATATGACAAAAACGTTGTAGATATGCTAGATTTACCAAAATTATTGTTCAACTTACGTTACTTTATTTTATAGGGTTACAGTAAGCCAAAACGGCATTCGGTTTGGAAAAATAAAATTGATTAATACATTATAACAAATGAAAGTGGCGCTTATGTCTAGTGTGGTGCATTTTGTTAGTATTTTCCGTGTTTTTAGCTTTGCGATCGTGGCTGTAGTGGGTGTAATATGGTTTAATAACATCACGTAACCTTTATCGGTTTTGGTAAGTTACGGGAAAATCTGTGGTCCGTTAAAAAGCCATGAGTGCCAGCCACAGTGTAACTTGCAAGCCTGTCTATTTCATCAGTTTAGAGGTAAAATAGTGGGAACACTTCCTTTCCAGGTCAGGCGGGCTGATTGCCGATGAGCAGTAGGGGTGCCGAAAGTCATAGTATTAGCAAGTATAGGCACGCATCTAGAGATCTGCTACCTCTTCTAGCAATTTGTTTCATATATTAATTCCACTCAGTATATCAGACACATCTTTGTAAATTTAACTACTCTAGTTTACGTTATTTTCGGTAATTTGATTACATCGTGATAGACCTTGAAGTAGAAATACCAACGGCAAGCTCAAGGGCATCACATTCTTTTGAAAATCTCGTAATAGTGAAAACTAACACTCTAGATAAGCTGCAGAAGGAACACGCTAAAAAATTCCAGTGAGAAAACTAGCCCGTTTATGCGGCCGTAAGAAACTCAGGGACCGCACTAACTGCGAACCATGTCATCAACAGTGAGAGTGCTAGTGCAATCCGGCAGTCGTCTAAAAGAGACCTGGTGGCAAAGAGAGGTGGCTAACTTGATCAAAGGAATGCAAGAAAATAAAGTCGATGAGCTTTTAAGTAGTCTCTGGTGTTCGCCGGTAGTCTTTCTTAAGAAACGGATGACGCACTCACATTTTGTGCGGTTTATAGAAAGCTGAATCAGGTCACGAAGACAGCTGTTCCCTACCTAGAATCGACAAGACTGACTAACATGTTCACAATGGTTTTCAATTGTGGATATGAACTGCGGCTACGGCCAAATAGTGTTCGCGGAGCGCAACAAGCAAAATTTCGCAATTGCACGAAATACCCAGCTTTGTAGGGTCTTGAATGTACTACTGCATTTTTTCACGCAGATTTGCTATAGTTGCCAGTGGTCTGTATGGTCACCAGGAGAAATCGTTACTTTCTATGGAAATCTATAATTCGCCACTCATTTCAGCCTATCAAATATCAGGAAAAATGTTTATAATAGTTACTGATGCAAGTGTGATACGATTAGCTCGTATGTCCTCTCAAGCAATTGGTGCCAAGGAAAGGGTATTAGCGTACTACAGTGAACACTTACCCAAATCCGAGAGAAATTGTTAGGTGACGTATCGGAAGCTGGTCG